TAAAATCAACATATATTATGTTTTTTAATACATAATATATGTTCAAGTAATACAAAATATATGTTTTTTTATTTATTAAGAGTATTATTCATCACTTCTATATTCTGATTTTTGTTAAATCTCATATTTAGCAATTCCATAGTTTCTTTCATTGCTTTCTCTTTACCTTGATTAATGAATGACTCTTTAGTCTGTTCATCTATATCATTCTTAGATTTTGTTCTAATTTGTTCAGTCATAGATTGAAACTTTTCAAGTTCTGAAAGTATCATATTAAATTCTGCATCATCAATATATTGATCTGATATAGCTTTAGAAATAAGACTACTTATTGTATTTAGTTTTGCATCAGCTAGTACTTTAATCTTTTCATGCTTTTCTGCTTTTATTGTAAATTTTTTATTAACTTGTGATCCTATTAGTGATAATACACCCATACCTAATGCTGCACCTTCACATGCAATAGCTACTGGTGTTCCAACTATTGTTGTTAAAAAACCAATACCAACAGCTCCAAGTGTCATAGTGCTTGCTAGTAATGTATTATCAACTGCTGAAATGATTCTTACAGCTCTGTGATATTTTTTACTTAAAATCTCTCTTCTTTTCCTTTCACATTCTATTTTATCTTGAATTTCACTAATCTTTTGTAATCTAAAGTTATGATCTATAGATTGTGGTGGTGCAGATGGATTTTCTGAAAACTGGTTTAGATCTGGATAAAGCTGCTTACATTCATTATTATATCCATTATTACATAGCATTTTCTTTTTTCTATAAAGAAAAATTTGTTTTAAATCATTTTTGTGATCAATGCTTCGCTAAATCACTTTTTACCAAAATTAAATATATCTTTATCATTACCAAAATCAACACCTTTAATATCAGGTTTATCTATACAAGGTTTATCATTACCAAAATCAACACCTTTAATAACAGTTTTATCTTCATCACATATAGTTTCTTTAATTACTTCTATACTTGATAATAAAGATTTTACAGATTCTTTATCACTTTTCTGTTTAGTTCCTGAGTCATTTTGTTGTCTCATTTGCTCTTCTTTAACATGTGATATATAATTTGCATTTAAAATACCATTATAAGTTGATATACAACATAACAAATCTCCTTTTTTAATGTTTATATCTTTTTTATTGTTATTATATACAGTTATTTTAATATCGTCAGTAGACTCTGTTACAATAGAATTTAGTAAATTTAGTTCTGGTTTATAATTTTCTGCAATTGAAATCACTATATGTCCTTTTTCTATTTCAACACCACACATTAAAGAAATGTTATTATATGAATTTGATTTTACTGTAAAATCTTCTTGTGCGAATATTTTAATATGTCTATCATTTATTGCTCTATGTTCTGAATCTGAATTAATATTAAAAGTTATTCTATATTGTTCATTATTTTCATAATATAAAAACATTCTACTATTATACATTTTATAAATGAAAAGATTTTTTTTAAATCACTCTGTAATCCTCATATTTATTTTGTTTTTAAAGTTCTTGCAATATAATTTAAAATGCTTTCACCTTGATGTAAAAAATTACACTTTTTATTATCATTATTTTTATATATTATTGTTTTTTCTCCTTTTTTATTTTTCTTTAATTTACTATCTACTAATTTACATGGATTATAATGACAAATTTCTACATTTTCTTCAATTTCTTTTTTTGAATGAGCACATTTGCAATTTATATTTTTACATTCTTTTTTATCAAGAATATATTTGCATAATTTAGTTTTAGCTTTTCTTAATTTTAATAATTCTGACTTTTTGGGATGAAACAATCTACACTTTTTATTCTTACATTTTGGGTATTCAGAACATAGAGATAAATGTCTATATTGACATGAAGATTTAGTGCATATGAGTCTTTCCTTTACAGTATTACAATAAGGAATATCATGATTGTATTTACATCTATGTTCAAAATGACAATAATTATCTTTTAAAATATTTTTACAGAAAATGGGTAGTTTGTCTACAAAATGAATTGTTGAAGGTTTTCCATCTTCAGTAAAATTAATATCTACATTAAATGGTTTTTCAAAACTAAATTTTCTGTTTTTATTATGTTTTTTAAAAGAAGTATCATCAAGAGCAGGAAAATCATCATTAATAACATTATAAGTTGGAACATAATTAATCCATTTCAGCTTATCTTTATGCAGTTCCATGATTTGAACTGTTTTTAAAGGAATTGGAACTATAGGTTTTTCTTTAACTTCTTCTTCATCATCAGATGTATAATAAGTAGCTTCATCAGATGTATAATAAGTGTCATCTTCAGAATCTGATTCTTCAAATTCAAATTTTAATATTTCTTCAAAAAGTTTAAATTCTTTTTGAAATTCAGATATTTCATTAATTTCTTCATCATACATTTTTTCTTTTATTATTTGTAAAAAATACTTTAAATCAAAAAATTTAAAATGAGTTAAATAATTTTTCTTTTATATATAAAAAGAATGGAAAACGAAATGCAAAATTTATTTTTAAGATCAATAAATGAAAGATTAAGATTAATAGAAGAAAAATTAAATATAATTGATATTCATGATATTGAAATGACTGAAGATTCTGAAGTTACTACAATTACTACTACTGAAGTTACTGAAATTACAGAAACTACTGAATACGATAATGATATTGAAATGACTGAAGAAGATGATGAAGATAATGAAGATAATGAAGATGAAGAAGATGATGAAGATAATGAAGATAATGAAGATGAAGAAGATGATGAAGATGAAGAAGTTACTACAGTAACTACTGAAATTACAGAAACTACTGAATATGATAATGAAGATGATGAAGATGAAGTTGTATTTGATAATTAGACTATAGAATTAATAATCTTTTTATTTTTTTACAAAAAATAAAAAAAATTGAAAAATAAGTTAAATAATTTTCTTTACATAATAAAAGAATGAAAAATAAAATTCAAAACGAAATAATTAATCCTTCAACTAAAATATATTATATTACTGCAATATTAAAAAACTATGGGTATAAAAAAAGTAATAAGGTTAACTTTGCTGCTAAATATGGTCGCCTTGATTTAATTAAATTATTACATTATAAAGGATATATAGGAACAAAAAATGCAATTAATTATGCTGCTGAAAATGGTCATCTTGAAGTTGTAAAGTATTTACATGAATTAGGGTATAAATCAACAAGTGGAATTGATAATGCTGCAGAAAATGGTCATCTTGAAATTGTAAAGTATTTATATGAAAAAGGGTATAAAGGAAATGATCTTGCTTTTATGTATGTTACAATTAATAAACATTTACATATCCTTGAATATTTCCATTCATTAAAGTTAAGAGGTCCTAATGATTTAATTAATTATGCTGCGATGTATGGACATTTAAATGTTATTAAATATTTAATATCACAAAATTATAAGGTTAATGATGATGCTTTTATTAATGCTGTAAAAATAGAACATTTACATATTCTTAAATATTTTATTGAAGATTTAAATTTAAGAGGACCTGAAAATTTAATTGAATATGCTTTTTCCAATTTAATGGAACCTAAAAATTTAATTGAAATTGTTTTTTCCAATTTTATGAAAGGAGAAAATAGTCATCTTGAAGTTGTAAAGTATTTACATGAAAAAGGATATAAATAAGAAGCAAGAAGAAAAAATTGAAAATTTAAATTCTTTACATAAATTAAAAAAAATGGAATGTACAAGTAAAGATGAAGTTAATAAATTTATGGGTTATAAAAGAAGAATAAGTTTAGCTCGTTTTTTTAAAAATAAAAATAAATTACAATGGGAAAAGTTAGAGAAGGAAAGATTAGAAGAAGAAAAGTTAAAAACACCAGATCAAATTTATTATTAAGAAAAGTCACGTCATTTTAAGAATTTTTCGTAATATTTCATAACAAGAAATAAAAATTAACACTTATTTTAAAAAAATCAATTTTTTAAAATAAAAAAATTATTTCTTATCTAAATAATTTATATACAACATGGTTCAATGTTAACCTCAATATTAATATTAATTTATGGTTGAAAATAAGGTTGAAAATAAAAATCCCTCTGAATTGGTAATCTCTTACTACTACTATTAGTTAGAGACTTAAGTTAATCCTATTTCGTTTATCAACTGTTTCTAGCCAGTTTCTAACCAGTTTTCTAACCGGTTTTATATCTTGAAATATTTTATATCCTTCCTTTCTTTAACTACCAGATTTGTGTTTGATTGATTATGTTTAAAAAAAAATATTGAATAACATGCCTAACTTTGTAGGGATGTATTTACTATTGTATTATAGCTTCTAATAGGGTTTTTCAAATTATTGTGCATAATTATTTCTTCTTTTGTCATTTTTAAAACTAATTTTATACTAAATGGGAAATCTAAAATATTTTTTTGAAAACCCCAACTTGTTATAAACAAAATTACAAACTCAATTCGTAATATGTTAATACAACCACTAAAAAAATTGACATATTTGTTTTTTCATATTTATTTTGTGTACACAGTTTATATATTTCTTACTAATCTATGATTATTCGATAAAATATAAATTTTTACAGTTATGACAATGTAAGTTGTTTTGAAATTTTTTATTGATAGTAATATTAATATTTATTTTTATTATTATTATTATTATTTTTATTATTATTTTTTATTATTATTATATTTTTATTATTAATATTAACTATTAATTTGATTTTTTAAAGTTAACAATTATTTGGACCGGTGTACCTTAGTACACCGGTCCAAATAATTGTTATTATGTTGTTATAATTGTTATAATTGTTGTCAATTATTCCAAAAAATTTTGGACCGGTGTACCTTAGTACACCGGTCCAAAATTTTTTGGAATAATTGTTAACTTTAAAAAATCAAATTAATAAATATTAATATTAGTTGTGAATCTAAACTTTTATAACAATTATAAGTTTATATAATTTTTGCTATTATAAAGTTATTTAATTTTTTTAAAGGGTTCTTGACATTGATAAATGGCAAAAGAATGAAAAGTACTCAATTATAACAGCATTGAATCTTTTGGATCGTATAGACGAGCCAATGAAACTTTTACAGGAAATTCATACTTCTTTACAACCAGATGGAGTTGTTGTTCTTGCAATAGTATTACCTTACAATCCATGTTATGAACGAGGTATTTTTTTGAATCTAAAAATCAGCAATAATTTTTATATGTTATCTTAGATATTATATATTCATTAACTAAGCTGTCTTGAGTTACCTTGTTACAGTGGGCTCAGAAGGCAAAGTTTTTGAAATAGGATCATAACTAATGATTAAGAAATTCAAGAAAACTCATTTAGGGCTTTTTAGAAAGATACTTTTTTACTTGTTATAGAAAATTTGAAATTTTTAATATTAAACTAAATTTGTGGACTGGGTTCAAATTACCTTATTAGGTCATTTTTGATAAATTTGTATTTTTTGATAAATACTTAAAGGGACTACCAAGTCCCGAGACATGTTGTGTTCATATTATAGAGAATGTTAAAAAAAACGTCTGAGCAAATTTTTTTTGATTAAAACTAATTAATAAATTTGTACCAAGAAAAACAAATCTTGTTATTTTAGTCAAAGCTCGTCTTCTCCATTTTCTGCGGTATTTTGAGTATGTAAAACAAACACGATTTTCCAGGCGCATTATACAGGCTTGATAATTTATTTAAGCGCGTTTATTTCATAGGAGTTTTAGTGCATGATGTCATAGTTTTTTTTTTTTGTTTAAAATACCGATTGTTATTTTTTACATACAATTTCCAAATCATATTCATTTTTATTATATTTTAAAGTTCTAAAATGTGTTTTTAAAACAAAATTAAAAACAAAATAAAATTAAAAACAAAAATAAAAAATAAAACAAAATAGTATTTTATTTGCGCAACTTTTTTTAAATAATCGTCTAGACCACGTGTATTTTGATTTCTTCTGTTATAAGTTTTTCCTTCAAAATATTAGACAAGATAATTTTTAACCTAAATAATAATGCACTTTTATTAATTTACTTAGTAATTATTAAAAAAAAAATTATTGACGCATTTTTTCTCTGATTTTCAAAAATGTATATTTTGGTATTGAGGTGATCTTGTTTCATTATTTATATTTCCATTATTATAACATCCAATATATATTATGGCGGGGGCTTAAAAATTAAAAAATTAATATATATTAATTTTTATTTTACAGACATAAATGGAAACATAATTAACTTGAATTTTCTTAAAACATCTTGCGGAAAAATAAAAAGAATATTTGCGAACACTTAAAACCTGCCAAGTTTGCGAACAAACTAATTCTATTGGTTCAAAAAACACGCTGACTAAGCGAAATAAAGTTCTAGAGTACTCTGTTAAAATGTTTAAGGAATTGTATTATTTACGATTGAGATATCTAGCATAAATTTTTTTAAGAACATATTATCAAATGAACTATTACTTTAATATTATGGCTTATTCTGGGAGCCACATCTATCTTTGTTTACAAAAATAAATGTTTTATAATATATATATTTTTTAAATTGTCAAAGTTTTGAAAGTTAATTACAAATTATATATTTTATTAGTATATACTAAATTTTTATATCTTTTCTTAGTGCTTGGTTTAATTAATTGTTCGTAAGATTTGTAAAAAACTAACGAACAATTAATAAAATAAACTTTTAATAAAATAAGTAACTATAGTTAGCTATTTTAGTAAAATTTAATAGTAAAATTTTAAAGAATTTCTAGAATGTTTCCAATGACGTCATGCACGTCAAAACTCTTATGAATTAAAAAAACTCTTATAAATTAAACGCGCTTGAATAAATTATCAAGTCTGTATAATGTGCCTGGAAAATTGCGTTTATTTTACAGACTCAAAATACTGCAGAAAATGGAGAAGACGAGCTTCGACTAAAACAACAAGATTTGTTTTTCTTGGTATACATTTATTAATTAGTTTTAATCAAAAAAAATTTGCTCAGACGTTTTTTTTAACATTCTCTTTAATATGAACACAACATGTCTCAGGACTTGGTAGTCCCTTTAAAGTTAAATTTATTTTTAAATTACAATTAAAAGAATGATTTATGAGATATACTCAAAGAAAATAAAATTCAAAAATTTAAATAATTTGGGGGTCTGGTTTCTACTGTTCTATTAACAAGAATTTTTTAAAACAACTATTCTGTCAAATTTGGGTTTAAAATAATGTTTATATAATAAAATTATAAGGAAAGAGTTCTAATGATTTGAACTTGCGTTCGTTCTAATGATTTGAACATTTGAAGATAAGAGTTAAAATAGTAAAAAATGTTATAATTTTATAATAAATCATAAATAAGGTTTTCAAAAAAATTGTCAAAATATCACTTTGGTTTTGAAAACATACGCTCATAAGATCTGCTTCTATGCTCATTTGAACCACAATCTTGGCAAATTTTGGAGGATTTGAATGGATAATTTCATTTAAATAAAACATAAGGATCTGATCTCCCTAAAAGACTCATCACATTTGTAAGTTGTTCTAGATGCAATCTCTTACGAGAGAGAAATTTTAAATAGTTTCTTATATCTTTGTTATTTACTTCTAGACCTCCGATAAATTGCCTAGACCATAACCATCATTAACAATTATTAACTCAGCTGAATGATGAAGGACTCCATGAAGAGTGTGGTTATTTTGTGGCCATGGCATATTTGTAATAATGTTAAGTGTAGCATTATTGCATAACTCCTGAAATTTGTCCATTTTAATTTTACGCTTAGAAGAAACTATACGAAGATTATACTGATTTGAGAATGTAGTAGTAACATGCTACTTGCTAAGATCTTTGTATATAGAAGAGCATAGATCTTTTATGGTAGAAATTGGTTCTTCAGAAAAAATCTATGGCCTTGTGACCCTGTTGTAGATGTCTCTCCCTTCGTTCCAGAGTTACAACACACATCTAATTGCAGTCCAGTGTTTTCTTTTATTTTAGTAATAACCCTGTCTTTTGCACTACATATTGGTTCACCAGGTGGTCCTGTTTTTTTAACTTGAAGTCTATAGTTTATATGACATCGATACAGTAGTTTTAAAAGACAGATGGTGCTATTTATATATGAATGTGTAATACATATGCTTTTTTTGATCAGATTTGGTTTGTGGTTTTTTAGTTTTTAGGCAGTCCTTTTTCGTGTGGCAAATTCTCCAGTTTTAGTATGAATGATAGTATCCTTATTAACTAGTTTTTCATACAGGATCCAAGTTTCTTTTTAGGATCGATCAATCGAAAGTCCTTTAATAACTCTCCTAGTATATGTCCATTCAGGACATCAAAAACACAGAACGTAATGATCTCGATGCATTTCGTGAATAATCTCGATGGCATATGTGTTTTAACTCTACATAACTGTGTGTTAACTCTACATAAGAGGAAACCCAATAACTGGGTAAAATGCAAACTGGGCACTCATTAGCAGGCTTGGTCGGGAAGCGGGAGCAATCGCTCTCGAATACTGACCACGGAAATTATATTTAGTTGCAAAAAACTGCCCAGGTTTTTTAGCCGTTTTGAGAACATTTAATTTATGTACGAAACAACAAATTATTGTATGTAGCTTGAAAAAGTTTCAATGGTGGTTAATAAACACAAAACATTCACAATAATATTTAAAAAAATGCATTTTTAATATCAAATCACTTATCATTATGTTACACATGTCACATATGATATTATGTATGTTACATATGGTAATATATATGTCACACATAATAATATGTCACATATATTTATCAAACTACGAAAATAAAAATGAGTGTGCTCTTGTTCGTAAACTTTTAAACAATTAAATGTTTTAGTAAATGAAAAATTGCTCATTTTCTCAAGATTAGCTAAAAGCATGCAACATGACGTTTGAAATTTAAACCTAAATTAAAATTAGCTTTGCAAAAAATGGCTGTTAAAAAAAAATTAAGACTATTGTTTTTTTGTTTTCTTTTACTGTATTCAACTCCTAAAATCTATATTATCGTTGAAACAGCATTAAACAAAACAATAAAACTAAATGTTCACTATTTTTGTGTGTCTTATATATATTGAGCAGCTGAAATCAAAACTCATGAGCAGGAAGAAAAAAATTATTGAGAGTATAATAAGTTTTCAATTTTTTTGAAAGTGATTTTCTTTGTAATGAATGTTTTTCAATTTTCAAAAGTTTTTTAAATTGATTTGTGCTTAAACACATGTGACAGATTGTGTGAGAAGTAAAACTTTTAAATTAAAGATTAATTTGTCAAAAGTTTTTTTTAGTTTTAATAAAACCTCCCTAAGGCTCCAGATCTATAGTGAATGATTTTCTTTTTTTTCTTTTTTTTTCTTTCAATTTTATTTTATTGCAACTCTCTTTTTCATAAATTTCAAAACATTTGAATACAGCAAACATCATTAACTTTGTTTAGATGTTTGTATAGACATTTAACAGAGAAACAGTTTGATTGATAAGCATTGTTTAATATATGGTCATCTGAAAGAGATAAACTAACCTAAGGAAAATTTTTTTTTTATAATTTAATTCACATGTAAAAATTTTATTTAAAATGTACAAAATAAGACTTTAGCTGAAAGCAGAAATCTATTTTAAAAAGAAAGAAATGAGGGGGAGGGGGAGTGGACAGAGAAGTTAATTTTTCTCTAAATTAAGAATTTAACCCATTTGGGACCCAATTTTTTTTTTTTTGTAAATTTTTTTAATTTTCTATTAGAATCCATGTATGTGAACACAGGAAAAAATATATTTTCGCAAAACAAGAGTATTGATAATGTCTTTGGAAGATATAAATAAATGTTCCCCTTTTAGAAACACTGGTCTTTATAGCAAGTAAATAAAATTAACAGAATTAGCATAATATAAAATTATTTATTTGTTTCCATTTTGGAACGCTGGATTGATATGGGTTAATTTTTATTGGCAAATGTTGTGTTTTTGCAAAAAATGCCTTTATTTGGCAATGTTTTCATCAATATAACCTTACAAAACACATTGGCATGGGGGTGCAACCACCCCAATTATTTTCTTAGAATAGTAAAAATTTAAAAACACCATTTATTTTATAATTGCCATTAAAAATAAATAAACATAAACACAACTAAAACTTTCCAGCGGTTTAATTATTTTTTCTGTATTAAGTTTAAGTTTTCAAAGCTAAAAAATTTCTAACTTAAAAACAAAAATATCTGACAATTTTTTTGTTAGCTGTTTATCTAAACCCAAATAAGTTGCAACATTTAAAACCATGTTTTTTATAAATGTTTTTTATATTTACATTAGTTCCTCAATTTTTAATATATATAAGGGTGGTTCAAAAAACAACTTTTTTAAAAATAGTCTGCTGCTCTTAACTAAATGTGTTCTATATAATACAAAAACACTAGGTTTAAAATTTTTTTGAATAAAAAATATTTTTAGGGGTTCCCCAAGACCCTTAAAAATTTGACGGGTCCCTAATATTTTGAAAAAAAATGTTTTTTTTAAGTATGTCAACCTAGTACTCAAAAGAAGCAAAATTATATAAAAACTTAAAAAATATTAATCAATTTACATAAAAATATTCCTAAAAATATTTTCTATTCAAATAAATTTTAAACCTTGTGATTTTGTATTATATAGAACACAATTAGTTATATATATATATATATATATATATATATATATATATATATATATATATATATATATATATATATATATATATATATATATATATATATATATATATATATATATATATATATATATATATATATATATATATATATATATATATATAATATATATATATATATATATATATATATATATATATATATATAAATATATATATATATATATATATAATATATATATATATATATATATATATATATATATATATATATATATATATATATATATATATATATATATATATATATATATATATATATATATATATATATATTATTCCTTATCATTATTTTTAGGACCAAGTTTCGGACCACCTTCTGAAGAACTACAGGTCAAAGGTAGAACTATTGAAGCACAAATTCAAAGTTTACACGATGATATTTTTAAAGCTGTTGGATTTGAAGTGATTAAGTTTACTCGATTGCCATATTTATGTGAGGGAGATTTGTATAATGATTATTTTGTTCTAAATGATATTGTTTTTGTTTTAAAAAAATCTAAAAACTTATAAATTTTTTGTTTTAAAGTTATTTATGCATTATTTAATAATTTTTTGTATTGAGTATAATAATTTATTTTAAATTTTAAAAGTTGATAGTTTTTAATATGATATTTTATTATAAATTATTTTCAAAAAATAAATTAAAGTTTAGTATTTTTTTGACTTTTATATCTAGAGTTTTAAAAAAGAAAAATTTTGTATAGTTTTTTATTTCAAATTTGTTACCATGGTCTCAAATGGTAACTTTTTCATGGCAAACATATTATTAGATGTAATTATATAACCTTGGTATAAATTTGTACTGCAAGTTATTATGCGTTAGTTGTATAGTGGTAGATAACTCACCTTATAAGTAAGAAGATCTAAGTTAGATCCCCACCACGTCCTTGGTAGTACCGCGCTCAACTTGATCATCAAGGTTCATATTTCAGAGTTATAGAGTTAAGAGAGAGTTGTAGCCACAATTGAAGTAGCCTCCTCAGCTGTAGCGGCCTTCATGGCTTTGGTGAGGTAAATTAACATAAAATAAAAAGTTTAATCATCAAAGTATTAGTCCTATGTATAATATCAGTTTGAATAGTTTGTAAAAGTTTACATACCTTTTTATACCCATACATACATTTTGTATAGAATGGTTTTATTAATGTACAGTACTGATTTGCTGGGGATCTAACTTAGATCTTCTTACTTATAAGAGTTTCTCTTAAAAAACATTAAAAATAAGTGAGCTAAAAAAAACAAACAAAAAAAAAAACATTAAAAAAAAAATTTAAAAAAGCAAAAGTTAACAATTCCAAAGAATTCTTTTTAAAGTATTAACATTCTTTACAAATGTGTGAAATTACGAATGTGTGAAATTATGAATGTGTGAAATTACAAATGTGTGAAATTACAAATGTGTGAAATTATAAATGTGTGAAATTACAAATGCGTGAAATTACAAATGTGTGAAATTACAAATGTGTGAAATTACAAATGTGTGAAATTACAAATGCGTGAAATTACAAATGTGTGAAATTACAAATGTGTGAAATTACAAATGTGTGAAGTTACAAATGTGTGAAATTACGAATGTGTGAAATTACAAATGTGTGAAATTACAAATGTGTGAAATTACAAATGTGTGAAATTACAGTAGTTTTAGGTATAAGTTGAAGTTTATTAATTTAATCATTTTTTTCTAATGAGTCTTTATAACTAACAGTGACCAAAATAACAAAAATTATATTTAACACAAGAACATGCCAAAGCAATCAGCTATACCAGTTGTTATATGTGAATATCATCATGAAGTATTGCAGTACATCCATCGATCGATTGCCAGTAAAAAACTTTCATATACTAATTTAAAAATGGTACATTTGGACTCTCATCCTGATTTGGGGTTCCCCAAACATCTGCTGGCACAAGATTGTTATAACAAAGAGGTTATGTACAACAATCTTGAAATAGCTGATTGGATATTGCCTTTGATGTATTGTGGACATTTAGAGAAACTGATTTGGCTGAAGCCTCCATGGGCAGAACAAATTCCAAATTGTATAACATTTTTTGTTATTGGGGAAGATAAAGACACTAAAGGTTTAAGGTTAGTTTTTTGTAGTTTTTTGTAGACAATTCTATATATATGATGTACTCTTTGCTCTGTTATGCCCTTAGTTATATGCTTAGTATTCTCTGCTAAATTGCTTTCCTTTATTCCAAATATAATTTACTTTGCTGTATTTAAAAGTGTCAGCACTTTTTGAAGTTGAATAGATTCAGGGTGAGGAATAAAAAAAAAATTTCAAAAGTTATTTTTTACAGTAAATTAAACTAAGCTGTTTCATTCATATGTTAGTTACGTACGAACCATAATTTTTCCATTTATAACATTCTTGCTTTTTATCAAAATCATTTTGTTTGCTTTTTTGCATATCTAATTTTATGTTACTTTTAAGTAAAAAATAATTCCATCAAATTTAAGCATAAAATCATAGTCATCTTTTGATCATTTTTGTAAACAATTTACTGCAAACAACCTCTTTTTGATTTCTTTTGCCCATTTATTTTTCACCACACATACTATCAAATTATTATGTGGATGCTCTAACATACTTAGTCATGTCTCCACTAACAATCATTTTCTTTCATGTTTCTACAACCAATCATTTTCTTTTATGCCTTTAAATCCAATCTTTTGTTTTCTTTCAAGAAGAAAAAAAAACTCTCTTCTCTTTTCTTGTTGTACTTTTATTGCATATCCAATTAATCAAGCAAATGATTAAAATGAGATCCCAGGGTTTGTAATCTCTTTTTTTACTTAATGGTTTTTGCAAAGTTTGAATTGAAAATTTTGTTATTTTTTTCTTAACTTTTAGTTAAAAATATGCATAAAAATCATAATTAGTATTATAACCATATTATATATTAATTATATTTAACCATGAATGTACAAGTAATATTTATTTAATTATAAATGTTAAAATGTTTGCATTATTTAAAATATTTTTAAGTATATTTCTTTTCTAATAATTTGATTTAAGTAAGTTTAGGAAATGTTTTTTTAAATTAACTAAGTTTAAACAAAAAAAACTTTAGCAAATGCGAAATAAATAAATTAAATATCATTAATTATATTGGCACATCAATCATAATTTAGGGTGACATGCAATGAGGAATATTTTCTTGAAGATGGACTATATGCTTGTTCTAATCAGTTGGACAATTCTAAAAATGTTGTTCTACAGGTGTGCCAAACATCTGATTTGATTAATGAAATTGATGAAAAAGAAAAACTAAATGAGTTTACAAATGATCAGTCAAAAAAAGTCAAACTAGATAAAGCTTATACCCACATACGACCAATTGATGGTGAAAAATATATATTAGATATTGATTTGGACTATTTTTCTGTTACCAACCCATTTTTAAAAGATTACACTAAAGTGAGTTTTTGTAGTTTTAAAATAACATTTATTTTGTCTTTAATTTAATTCATTACAAAACAATGAAGTCAATAATAATAGTGGTTTCATGTAGGAGGAGTATTCCAGATTGAGACAAATTTACAACGTTTCCATTCCAAAAGATAGAAGTTCAGAAGTAATTTCTCATTAGCTTATTTTTATCTTACTATTATCTTATATTACTATCTTATTTTCATATTTTTGTATAAATTTTTTTTTTTAACATTAAAAATATAAATAATCTTAAATTTCCTTTTTTTAAAAAAAAGACAATTATTGTCCTACATCAAGTAAAAAAAAAAAATGACAATACAAGGTGGAAAAAATTAAAAATATTTACAAATTAGAAAAAATAAATACATGTACAAAGTAGAAGAAGTGTTTTAAGCTTTTTTTAAAAAGATTAGAAATTTTTATGAAGACCAAGCAGATTTTTATTGAAGATTTTAAAAGCATATTGAAATATGCTTTTAAATCACCAAAACATTTTAGTAATATTAGATAGTTTTGACATCATATATGGTTGTGACATGATAGATGGTTGTAACATCAGTAGTTTTAAAAGTTTGTTAAGATAAGAAACAAAATGGGTCAATGGATATACTTTTGACATGCCCATCAGCTTACTAGAAACAAATGTAGAAGTTATTAAGAACCTTTTTACTGCAATTATTAGAATGAATTCATTTTTATGTATGCATACTTTTTATGTTCTACATTTTTCATTTGCTATAAGCAATATTTAGTGATAGATTTTTACAATACAAGTAACTATAGTAACCGAAGATTGGTAACTAATATTCTCTTTAACCACTAGTAATTTAAGATAAAAATAATAAAATGTTTTCCTAATTTAACAATAATATTTTATTGTCTAATTTCATATTTTCTTGATATAAGCACAAATTTTGTCTGTAATCCACAATCTATATCACGAAAATCACATCAAGTTTTATTTTTAATTTTTGCTATTGCTGTTTCAAGTGTCTCTGACTTCAAAATTTCTTTCATTTAGGCCCCAACAAATATATTTCTGATCTTTGTCTCAGATAGCTTTGGAAAAATGAGCCGAATTTCTTGCTTCTCCTCCATTGCAACATCCTCTAGTAGCCATTATAAGAAGAACAGAACCCAATATAAATATTTAGAGTAACTTAAGATGTTAAAAAAACAAATTACTTTGGTCTTTTGAGTGCAATCTTTAAATGTGAAATTTAAAGATGGCACTCAAAAAATTTTAATTTAAACTTACGCAAACTTAAAATGCACCAACAGCCATGCAAAACATTTTAAATGTTTTATGAAATATTTTACCTATGATGAATTTTTTCATTTGCAAAAGATGTATTATTATCACTCTTATAACCTATTACTTTGCTTTTCCCATCTAAGGCTGCAAGAAAAGCACTCTAACAACCTCCCATAAAATAATTTATGCGGCACTTCCAATGTATTTGTTTGCACTCTATTGTATTTTTTTGCAAATTATTTGTTGCCTATTGGATTTGAAAATTTTTTTTTTAATTTTTTGGACTTAGCAGAGAAAGTTAATAAATAAATAATAATAAATTTACAGTGGGTAAAAATTTTGTAAAAATTTATAACATTGTGTATTAGCAATTATGATAATATTGCTATTGTTATTATTTCTATAATTATTATTAATGTTATTATTATTATTGTTGTTGTTGTTGTTGTTGTTGTTGTTGTTGTTGTTGTTGTTGTTGTTGTTGTTGTTGTTAATGGTAATAATAAATAAAATTATATAATAAAAATGATAGCAATTATACTTTTTTTTTTATTTTGAAGAAACATTTATCTTCATTTGTTAAAGAAACACAGAAAAAATATCAGGAGTTAGAAAACATTATCAAAGCCTTTGCTGAAGACAGTCATATTGAAGAAACTAATGAAAATAAAGAAATGCTTATTTTTTTAAAGCAATTGAAAGATCGTAAGTGTGGTGAAAAAATTGATTGGGAGTTAGTAAGTAACTTTATGGTTGTTGATGTATTTTAAATGTTTTTAGTTAGCAATAAGTTCCAAAAGTCTAAGTAGTACGATATCCTAATAAAACTTTTATTTATTAATTATGTTCTCTTTACTGGTAAATGCTTGAAGAATGAAAAATTTTTAAAATTGATTCCTAACTTTTTTAATCGATTTTAAAAATTTCCTTGTGTTAAAAGGGCATATGCAAGTTATGTTTTATTGTTTTTTTCATTATATTTTAAATTATTATATATGAAATTATAATTATATTTTAATTATACTTATTATAATTATACAATTATAATTATATAATTATATTAACAATTATAATTATTAAACAAAATTTCTATAAGGTTATAAAGTTAGTTGGTTAACACTCAATTAATTAATAACTATGTATAACTATGTGATTAGTTAGAATTTAATTAATTAATAGCATAAAAATTCAATCAACTAATAGTTACTTTTCACAAATATTTCTTTTTCCTTCTTACTTGAAAACATCATATAATCTTATAAAACTTCATATAACTTCTTTTCTTGTTATATTTCTTAAAAATAATTTTTAATAGTTTTGATCTGAATAACTAATTTTAGATCTAAAAAAGCAGAAAAAATATTTATTAATATTTAGTTGAGGTTTCTTTGCTTTAGTGAAGGCAACTTACATATACAAAGGAAAACTCTGATATAAAACCCTCAATAAATTGTGGGTTAGCTAGGAAGAGCTTAGAAACCTTGGAAGAGGAAGAGATTAGAAACCTTGAATCCTCCTAGTAATAGTAGTACAATAAAAGTACTCAGTCCTGAATTGTAAAACAGTTTAATGCTACAAAGTGAGTGAGGAATCATAAATGTTAATGAGAAAGATAAAAAAGTTTTTTTTGATAAACACATTTCAGAAAAATAAACAATTTTCATGCTAAAGAACTTTTAAAAGTCTGTAAAAAAAAGGCTTTTAAGGGTTAAATTGTTAAAAACGGCTTTTAAGGGTTTAACTGTTTAATAAGAATTTTAAGCATTTAACTATTCAAAAAGACATTCAAGATTTTAACTGTTTAAAAAAGGCTTTCAAGGGTTAAACTGATACATACATATATATATATATATATATATAATATATATATATATATATATATATATATATATATATACATATACATATACATATATGTATATATCTATATATTTATATATATATATATACATATATATATATATATATATATATATATATATATATATATATATATATATATATATATATATATATATATATATATGTATATATATATATATATATATATATATATATATATATATATATATATATATATATATATATATATATATATGTGTGTGTGTATATATATTATTAACAACCAAACTTCGGTACGAAGTTTAAAAGTACCGGTGTGTATGGAATTCGGTCTAAAACTGATATACAAATTATTGGCTGGGATAATGTTACTATTAACTAGGATGCACTGGGTACCTGTTGGACCTGGGGATCGGGTAAATTGGCTGTTTTCCTGGGTACCCGGAATCAACCATTTTGTTGCAGTACCTTAATTAACTTAACTTGATTAATCAGTGCATAATACATCCTATAGTGCATATAGGTCCTCAATTTCTAAATTTGGTTGGTGCCCAAAAATAATAGACACTATTAAAAATATTTTAGAATAGCCCCTGTTTGGGTTCCTGGAATCCAGGACTCAGCATAAACTGGTTTATTTAATTCATTGATCATTTAATGTGTGAGCAATAAATCTACCATTTATGCTAATAACTCCTGATTTACTCAGAGTTAGTTTGATGTTGAATATAATCTAATGGTTCCATCATGATAAAAAAATGTCCTGACAGAACCAAAAATTAATAAAAATGTTAATGAAAATAATTATCAAAATGTAATTAAAACAATAATAAATTTTATACAGATCAACAAGGATTCAAAACACTAACTAATAGACAAATAAAGTCCTTTATATAAATGCAATTTCAGTAAATTTAGATAAAGTAGTTTTAGCTAATGCTAACACACTCTTTAAATTTATTGTTGAAAATTGGTTAGAAGAACAATCTTTAATGTTTATTGAAAATCATTATTTATATAAATTTAACAGAAAAGACAAAAAGGCACGCTTTGCAAGCGTAATATTCAGGATAATATATCATCATTTTTTTTTAATTTTTTTTTTTTAATTTTAATTCACCTCCTCAAGGCCAAGAAGGCCACTACAGACGAGGAGGCTACTTATTTGTGGCTATAACCCTCTCTCAACTCTATAACTCCGAAACACGAACCTTGACGAACAAGGTTGCTGCGCGGAGAAACGAGTTGAGCGCGGTACTACCAGGGACGTGGTGGGGATCGAACTTGGAACCACTCGTTTATGAAGCGAGCGCTCTACCACTACACCACTACCGCATTTGAAATGAGGAACTCAATAATAAATGTTGCAAAATCAAAATATATATATATATATATATATATATATATATATATATATATATTTATATTAGGGTGGAGCGATTTTTATAGCAAAAAAAAAAAATTTTAAAAATCAATATTCCTGAGACATGAATCGATGTCTATTAATTATAAGATGAAAGTAAAAAAATATTTTTTGGTTTTGATAAAATCTTGAGGTTCCTCTTTGGATTCTAAATCCTTGACAGATCCTAATATTTTTGAATTTTTTTTTTCTTAACTATATCAACCTTGGACTCAAAAAAAGCAGAAAAAAATGCATGTTTTATCAATAATAATTTTATTAAAAAAAAATTTTTAGTGAAAAAAATATTTGCAAAAATATACCTTAAAACCCCCGTTTTGATGAAGACGGGGGTTTTTTAATAAAAAAAACGACATTATTTTTTCTCTTCAGTTTTAAATAAAAACAAATATTATATTCTGCTTAAAAAATAAAAACAAATATTATTATTCTGCTTCTTTTGAGTACCAGGTTAATATAGTTTAGAAGAAAAATAGTTTCAATAATATTAGGATCCGTCATAAATTTAGAATCCAAAGAGGAACCTCTAAAACTCATTTATATTAAAAAAAAATAAAGGCTCTTTTTTCACCAAAAGACATCGATAATCAATATTCGAAAATTTTTAAAATCGCTCCACCCTAATATATATATATATATATATATATATATATATATATATATATATATATATATATATATATATATATATATATATATATATATATATATATATATATATATATATATATATATATATATATATGATGGTGCCTCAAGATCCTGGGACATATTTTGCACAGTTTGTTTATCAGTTTGTTTTTACAGGGTAGAGAAAGGGTTGTAGCAATAATTAAATAAAAAAGTTTTTTAAAATAAAAAGTGGCCTCCTGTGGCCTCCTAAACAAGAAGGCCGTGGTTCAACTCCAACCACTGGCGATTTTTTTTTTAATTGTTTAAAATACTCGTGAAGAATAAAAATAATATACAAACATATCTAACGATGTTATACACTTTAACAAACAAGAAGATTTTTAAAAAGCTAAAAATTCTAAAAACATTAAAAAACGGGGGGATATTTGTTGCATATGTGTCTTGGTTGAGATACTTATGTTATTTTCGTTTTACATTTCAAGTTTTTTTACAACTAAGTTGAGTTTGTGCAAAAAAAAAAAAAAAATAAGTATACAACATGTTTATATATAAAATATAAAATCTATAGAACTATAAAGTTGTTTTGTTTTGCATTTTAAATAACAAAAATTAAAAAATAAAGCAAGATTCAAACTTGCCATGCGGCGACCTTAACTTTTTCAAAATAGTAAGGGGTTTAAAAAGTATGTTTTTTATAAGAACATAATTAAAAATTCTAATTTTGTATTTAAATTAAACCATTTTATTAAACTGATTACTTTTAAGAATAATTAAAGTTAATTTTATTTAATATTGATACAAAAAGGAAATTTAGAGTTATACAGTTATTTTACCACGCCCCCGTTGAACATTCAAAACCGAGTGTGCAACGACGACAGAATTTAGATAACCATCAAAATAGTATTATACTCTATTATTTTTTGGCTTTATATACTTTTCGGCTGATCATTTATCTAAACTTTAAAAATAAAAATGATCAAAATTTTCTCTTGCAGAGCCGTATGTTAAATAAAAAATCAAAATAGCACATTAAATTTAATAAAATTGCCATCTTAAAGAACTGACGATTTCTACTACTTTTTTAAAAATAAACTTAGCGTTGCGTAATTTGTGGGCGATTCTTTAGCGTTTTATAGTTTATAATGGTTTAAGATCTTAGTTCTGCTATACTATTATAAAATAATTATAAACTGCGATACTGTTATAAAACTTTTGCTATAAATATAAGAATAAATAAATAAAAATAAGAATAAGAATAAATAAATAAAAATAAGAATAAGAATAAATAAATAAAAGTTTCAAAATTTATAAGGGGATGTCTTTAATCCTCCAAAAAGACACTGGTGACACTAAACCAGTATCTAGTCTGTTTGTGTAATAATCAATTTTTAATACTTTTAATAGGTCCATGCAGCTGGTTTAACCACTGAACTGCCGCATCATATAAGTTCCGAGGAAAAAATTTTTGATCTCATCCAAGAAATGAGTTTGCTTCTTCAGAAACTACCTGCACCCTCTTTAATAACTATTGCTAGGTAATTGTTTCTTGTTTATTATACTAATACATACTAGGGGTATTCAAAAAAATAAAATTTTCAGTCTTGACTTTTCATTGTTACTGATTCACTTGCATGCGCGCAGAAAAAAAATGAGAATGGTAAGTTATTCAGCACAAAATTCTCTATCTTTTAAGACCATGTGCGGTTCATACTTTGTACTACAGAGGCTAAAATTAATCAATACAAAAAGGTATCATTATTTATGAATCACCCGATATATGCTAATATAAGAATATATGCTAGGGATGTACCGAAGCTTCGGCAATTTTGCCGAAGCTTCGGTTCGGCCGAAGCCAGGTCTATTTTTTGCCGAATCTTTGGCTTCGGCAAAAAATTTTAAGTAATTAAAGTTATAAGCTACTGTTGTACAATTTATAAAAATATGCTAATTGCCAGTGTCTAATTAAGTTGTATATTCAGGACTACAGAGTTAAAGTTGGAGTCTATACCATATACTTAGTATTATTTACTCCCAAATGTCTTGTTATGGAGGGGATGATAATAAATAAGTAGAAATATTTTGAATATAATAGTAAAATTAAGGAAAGTCCTCATACACTTTGAAGGCTTCCAAGTGTGACTTTAGATGAACTGAATCAGCATTTTTATGCAGAATAAAAACCTTATAACTTAAAACGAATTAAAACTTTTTAAAAATAAAATAGGAAAAAAACCTTAATTTGTATTATGTAACGAATTTATATTAATTTTTGTGTGGGATTACCGCAAATAGAACAAAATTTGGTTTTAACATTTGACCTATAAACCTTAGTAATCTCACTTTAAAGAAGATTAAAGATACGTTGCTACTATTTTAAATTCTGTGTATGTTTAGTTTTTTTAAATTTTTTTTAACCATAATAAAAATTTGCAAATTTTTATCGTGAGATTACAGAAATTGGCTAGGTGTCACTTATATAGTTGCAAACTAGTCAATGGAGTGACACATAAAAAACATTAAGTTCTCAACAACAAAAAAGGAAGAAAAGCAAATGAAATATAAATGAGGAGAATAAAAAAAGAAAAAAAAAAGTCAACAAAAACTAGATAAATTAAAAGAAAAAGGAAAACAATGATAATAATTATCCTTGCTCTTTTATTAATATTATGAATACTTCTAAATTGAATTTATATATTAAACATGTAAACTTATATTCTGGTTTCTTCTTATGATATTATGAAGACTTTTAAATTTTATTTAAAATAAATTAAAGGTTAAAGCTTTGATTACTTTGAGCTCTTATATTTATCATCAAAATTTATTTAAATTAAATAAACAATTTAAATCAAATAAATATCAGCCTGCTCAGTCCCTGTTTATTTATAAATATAAAGTAAATAATAATATAATTATAAATAAAAAATTTATAAAGTATTCTATTTATTATTTTATTTAAAGCTCACTCTACTGAGTTGTTAGATTACAATAGAGGTTTTTATCACATATAGTTAATATTTGATTTCAGATACTGATGCAGATTTATCCATTACAGAGACAGAAGAAGAATGAATACTATGATTTCAGAGTGTAAAAGATTAAAAGAAGCTTAAGAAAATGTTATGTAGTGTAAAGTTAAAAATAATCAAAAAAAAAAAAACAACTTAAAAGTGTGTAAACAGAAGTTAGAGAGAAATCTATCAATTGTACTTTTTTTTAGCAGCAGGTTCACAACAGTTGTAGTGGAATACAAAATAGTCTTAACTTGGGTTTTTTTTAGTTTAAAAATTGTTTTTTTTAGTTTAAAAATTGTTCGTTTAATGAATACAGAGAAGTACAACTAGATCAGCTAAGTTTATTTAGAGAAAGAGTGTTCAAGTGTAAAAGATAAATTTACTTGAGTAATATTCAGAGATTTTTATCCACTCTTAACAAAAGGTGCATTAAAAATAAAAATAAAATATACAGCACATGAAAAGATGCGTAACAGTAATTTATGGGGAATAAAATTTGAGGATATTCAGCTAGCATACGATAATTAGATAGAGCAAACAAGATGATTAAATAGAGGATTAAAAATTAGATGATTAGATAGAGGATTAAAGAGAAACGATGTTTACATAGAAGAACAGTATGGCTATAAAAGATCAAAAAAATAGCAATAATCTTAGAAGAATATTGGGAATAGTTGGAAATATATGTGAGTTACTGATATTGTGCACTATATAATATTAATATGGTTTGCACACAGAAAAAGTAGAACTAGAAATAGGAAAATTTGGGGAGAATGTTTCAAAAAAGCTTAAGAAGCCGAAACTTAAGAAGCTTCGGCTTCAGCAAAATTTTAGCTTCGGTACATCCCTAATATATGCTAATATAAGAATATATGCTAATTTTATAAAAATTTGCACAAAAATTAATATAAAAACCTATATTTTTTAAAAATCTACACAAATATATAATCATTTGTAGAAATTGGTATATATTTAAAGATATTTGTTAGATTTTTTTGTAATCCGTCAACTATCCATATCCGATTAAAAAGTTGAACCAGGTGTGGAAAATATTTGATATTCTTATTTTTCACCTCTAAACGTATAATGCGTTTTATTAGGTTTCAATGTATTTTAATGATCAGTCACATTCTAGATAACACAGTCACATTCAAAATAACCACCACACTGTACTAAAACAAATTGTAAATTTAATATGAATATTTGATTTAATGTTTAATGTAAAATTTAATCTCTCAAATCATGGTATATACACAAAAAAATAAAAAAAATAATGCTTTTAACTAGTTTTTTTCATAGATCCGCAGAAGACGAATACTGTCCTCCAAATCAAGTTGATTTGATCGAACGTTGTGTACTAAAAGTATTACAAGATAAGTATACTAACATTGAAGTAACGTTGGATTACAAGGATTTAACAAGATTATTTTGAAAACATTTAATTTGAAAGCATTTATTTTGAAAACATTTTTGAAATCTTTTTATCAAACTGCTTCTTAAATATATATTTTTTTTCTAAAAATTTTGTCTTCCAATCAATGGCGAATAATTTTTCTGAAATTTTTTTCTGATAGCTAAAATGATTAATTATTTTCATATCGTTTGCTTAATGTGCGCAATGATTGTCCCTCAAGATATGGTTGTTTTAGGAGTTTAAATGCCAATGCTTTAGTCTTTTTTCTGAATTGTTCGTTAAATATGACATAAATAAACGGATTGATGCATAAGTTTACATTAGGAAGAATTTCGATAAAAATTGCTACAATTATTAAGAATAATATTTCATTGTTTTCACGAAACTGCTCATAACACTTTGGGCACAAAATAGACGATATTGCAATAACCGTAACCGGCAAATAACAAATTGCGAAGGCTCCATAAACGATCGCTAAAGTTTTGGTTATTTTTATTTCTTGTTTTCTTTTTTCTCCCATAAATTTAGTTGCGTTTTTCAAATCTGCTGGAACCAACGTTGCAATTGTTCGAACATGCTTTAGCGCAATTTTCATTATGGTTGTGTAGAAGACAGCCATAATAATTAATGGTAAGATAGTTGCAATTAAAAATAAACAAAGAAAATAAATGTCGTTGTTATATATGCAAATTAAAGTATTACTATATTTATTGATGGTAAATGTTGCGTTTTTTGGATCTTGCCAGTTAAACACGCCCAACGAAGTCCACGCTGTTGTATACAACCATATACATAGCACAAAAATCAATGGTATATTTTTATTTAAGTTGTGGTAGAAAAACGGCGACGATATTGAAATAAATCGGTCTAAAGATATAACAAATAAATGCGTCACTGATGCAATATTAGTTACAACATCTGTGATACTTTGTAATTTACAAACCATTAAATTAAAACAAAAACTCTGATTGTGGATATGTTGATTAATTTTTAAAGGTATAGTAAAGAGAATTGTTGCTAAATCACTTAATGCTAAAGATATAACGTAAGTATTTGTTTTTTGTTGGCGCAATATTGGTGATAGGGTGATAACAATTATTGACAAGGTGTTACCCAAAACACCTGCAATAAAAATTAAAATCAACAAAACAATAAAAATTTTATTTCTACCACTTGTTTGCGCTTTACAAGGCTTATCAAAAACGGTTTCGTTTAAACATAAAGTTCTATAAATCAAGTTAATTCCAACAGTTGCAAATAGTAAAAAACGAGAAGCCATTTGTTTTCATATATGATTTTCTCCCTTATATTCTAAATATAAAAAAATAATCAATTGATCTTTAGCGTTTGATACCTAAAAATTATTCAACTTAATCATTACGGTCTGGTGTGTACATTAATTCATAGGGTTTGGGATTGTTAAGAAATGTCTCAAACCTTTTGAAGAAAAAAAAATCAATCTTTAATGATCTAAATGGCGTCGTTTCGTAGAGCTCTTTAAACCTGTGAAAATTACAAGTATATATTGAAATGTAAAACATCTTTATAGCACTTACCCTATCTGTTTAAAAAAAAAAGAACCTTTATTGTTTGGTATTTATTAATAGTATAAATATTTGTTAAAAGATTTTTGTTTTGTTCATTTATTACGATCTACAACAGAATAAATAAGAGTAAGTTTTAATATTAATAGATTTTTAAAAGTGTAAAATACTTTTTACATATTATATCTTAAACGGATTGATTGCACAAAAAATTTGCATTTTAACGCTAATGTTTATCCGACAAAAAATTCACTTCCTTTAATTTCTTTATTATTTTCATAAGTAACATTTACTTATTAATTTCCATGGATGTTTTGTTGAACTAATTCGACAGAAAATTAAAAATAAGTAAATTGAAGTTTTAAGAATTGTAGGCTTTTCATATAATTGTTATATTGTTTTGTTATGTATATATATGAAGACTCCACGGGAAGAAACGGCAGGGTCACATTTTGACTATTTTGACATTTTACACTTTTTAACTTTATAAACAATATTATTATGCATTTTATCTGAATTCAAATCAAAAAAACAATTGGATGTACTTTTATAGTTTGATGGAACTTAATCACTTTTTTTAATTATAAAATACATACCTCCCCGAAAAGACAAGTGTTAATGAGTTAAAATAATATTTGCAACTTACTAATAGACATAAACCAAGTTTACCATTTTTATTTTTTGAATTATCAAGACTCATACTTACGGCTATAAGTCTTTATTTTTCAAAATAATCACAGGTGATTTGGTTAATGTAAATTAAATAATAAAAATGGCGACACTTGAAATACCAATAAAAATGCTAATAAATCTAAGAAAAGAAAGAGTAAGGAAAGATTGCGTGAAAGTATAAAGAAACAAAGATTAGCATCGCATAAAATAGGGCTTGAATGTAACTTAAATGCTTATAGAAGAAGAAAAAAAAAATGTTATTAAGATATTTTAACTCTCTATCCAGCAAGGATGCTCAAGATTCGTATCTTGCAAGTTTAATAACTTTAAATAACGTTTCAAAAAGAAGACCACGAAACATTAATTTAAAAGATTATAATAGCAGTTACAAATATAAATTTTTAATTACAAATCACGAGATACTCACGAGTTCGTTTATTTATGTTTGCTTTTCTGCGTTTATTTCAATCTTTGGCATAAAGAATGGAAGATTAGAGACCAATAAAAGAAGCCTTTTAACTAAAGGTAATTTATATATTTTTATTGAATATAGAATGCTTATTTTTAATGGAAGTTTTCTTATATATAAAAATTATTTTTTCTCATTATAGGTCACTCTCCCCGTGATAGAAGAGGTAAACACAAGAATCAGTATAACAATTTTACTCCTTAACTAAAAAATAAAATATGTGATCACAATTCTTCTTTCAGAGGTAGATACCAAGATCTATTAATTATAACCAAGATGAATGACTTGTTTAAAATCAAGTATGGAAATGATAAATTGTCATATGAATCTTATCGCAACATATTTAACAAAGTTTTAACATTTCTTTTGGGTACCCTAGGACTAAAACGTTCTAAATGCGATGAGTTTAAAATTAAATTTGATGCAATAAAAGTTGAACCTTTTAATTTGGAATTTACAAAGCCTGAACAACAATTGCATGAGCTTTAGTTACAGAAAGAACAGCACCACAAAGATGCAGAAATATTTTATGTTAGGAAAAAAAATGCTTGGTTTAAAGCACAAAGGGAGTACAAATTTGAGGCAATTGCTTTTGATTTCAAAAAAAATCTTAACTTACCAAATCAATCAACCAACGACTTTTACTACAAACGAAAATTAGCATTTTATTCATTTTAATATTCATCATTTTAATATTCACGTGCTTTCAAGCAATGAAGTTTATTTGTATTGTTATGATGAAACTATAGCTAAAAAAGGGGCTGATCAAGTAACTTCGATGATTTTTTTATAAAACATTTAGACAAAGAAATTTGATCTGTAGAGCTATTTTGTGATTCATGTGCTGGCTAAAACAAAAACTTTACATTAATTCGTTTTATGGATTTTCTTGTTCATGAAAAAAAAAAGGTTTGACTTTATTAAAGTTACATCTCCAGAACGTGGTCATTCTGTTATGGAATGTGATAAAGATATGGGATTAATTAATTGCAAAACACCCAAAATAGTGATGCATCAGATTGGATTAAAACATTCAAAAATGCTCGTAAAAAACCCACTCTGTTTCATGTTATAGAATTAACGCAAAGTATGGTTAAAAGTATAACTGATTTTATGAGACCATTTTATAAGAATAAATGTCCAATTCCAACTTGTCCTCTTTGTGAATTTTGTTTCAGAGGAGACTCAAGTGGCATTGTATTTCATCGTGATTCGTGGAATGGATTATTGTTGAAAACTAATTTAAAAAATAATAGAAAGAACACTATAAATAGTGAAATCCCCATTCTGTATAATGCAAAACTTTGCATCTCTTTGGCAAAGTACAGAGATTTACAAGTATTAAAAGGTTTACATCCAATGCTCAGGTTTACGATTCTTTGCCATACAATCAGGAGGTTATCGAGACATTTCATGAAAATATTGATTCTGAAGATGAAGAGCAAATAGACTTCTTTTTTTATTTAAATTTTGTTTTTAATTGTTTTTTTCTTAGTGTTTCTTGACAAATTTATAATCTTTAATATGTTTCTTCTTTGCTTCACTTCATATACAACAATTTATATAATTAATAATCACAAGATATTGAATATATCTTTTAATTATTAGTCAGGGTATGAAAATAAAAATTCAGATCAAATAAATACTAAATTGTTTTTAAACCTATAAAATTTTAAAGCCCCTTTATTATCAGGAAAGAAACTTTGCATTAAATAACTTTTTGTGCTTACAGTTTTGTGACACCTGTATAGGTATAGTTATATAAGTATTTAATAGGTTAACCTTTAAATTAAAAACAAATTGAACTTTGTCATCAACAGTGATATTTTTGAATGAAAGATTCATAATAAAAATTAAAGCCTTTCGTTAACGAAAACCTCCAAAGGACCGATTAATTAGTTCAAGATAGAGAATGTTCGAGTTTCGAGAGTATAATCCATAAATAAGGGTTCGACTGGATTCAAAAAAGTTCGAGATACCAAGTATTCAAGATTTCGAGAGTTAACTGTATGTGATATTTTCATGCACGACATAAGAACAAAAATTGAAGCCTTTGGTTAACGAGAACTATAATTATTTTCTAAACGAAAATATCAACACTAAACAGTATTTTTAATTTAAATTCGATCCCCTAGACTTTTTAAGGGTCAATATTAGGTCTTGGTGGTGAGGTTGTTTGGTAAAATTAGCTTCTGCCTAATTTTATTTATAAGCTAATAAAAAAATAATTAACATTTTATATTTTTAATTGATCGAAAAACTAATAAAATAAAAAAAGATATTTTACCGGGGAAAAAACGGCCGAGTCCATAAAAAACCTCACTCAAAAAGGAAAACCTATAACGTAAATTATTATATTTAAATTATAAATACAACTTTAATTGCATAAAAAATTAGTTCCTTTTGTAATAAATCTTTAAAATTTTAATCCTTCCCCTAAAAATAAAAAAGTTATATAGGTTTAAAAGTTTAAAAATGATTTATCGCAAAATGAAAAAATGTGACCCTGCCGTTTCTTCCCGTGGAGTCTTCATATATATATATATATATATATATATATATATATATATATATATATATATATATATATATATATATATATATATATATATATATATATATATATATATATATATATATATATATATATATATATATATATATATATATATAATATATATTTAATATAGTTAGTAAAAGTTTTTTATTATTAATTTAATATTATTTGGGTAATATTACTGCATTTGTTACTTGGTTGTTTTATTTTCAAACTTGTTAAAGTTTATAATTTTTTTTTTTTATTTATTTTTTAAAATTGTTTTTGCAATTATGGCATTTCCACTATTTGAATGATGGTTTGCGTGCTTTTTTAGGTAGGGGGGAAGGGGGGAGGGTAAAGGAGTCTGAACTTTTGAATGCATAATATGTTTTTAAAATAAGGCTTTTTATTTATGTTTACATAAACAATATTCGCAATATATCTTGATAATTATAATAACATTATCAAATATTGACAGGGGGCGTCTATGACTTCTAACTGTTTCTATATATGACTGGCAGAGTAATCCTGGGGGGGGGGGGGGGGCAATGATAATTTAATCTGTTATAGTACTTGTCGTTAATTTCTACCTTGTAAAGTTTTACTTTGTATTAATATCTGTCTAAAACATTTTAAAAATAAACCCTAATTTAAAAAAGTTAATTTTTAATAAATCCGTAATTTTAAAACCCGTTTCCCGGTAGCTGAGGATTAATATTTTACAAAAATATTAATAAAATTGAATTCTCCATACCCAAATACATAGGAATTTAAGGTTTGGATTACTATGTATTTTTCTTTTTCTTTGTTTAAACAAAGGAAAATAAAAAATCACGCACAGAAATAGAAATATACATATATATAAATATATATATATATATATATATATATATATATATATATATATATATATATATATATATATATATATATATATATATATATATATATGTATATATATATACATGTATATATATATTTAATATATTTATATATATATATATATATGTATATATATATATATATATATATATACATATATATATATATATATATATATATATATATATATATATATATATATATATATATATATATATATATATATATATATATATATATATATATATATATATATATATATATATATATATATATATATATATATATATATATATATATATATATATATATAGCTGCTCTGGAATTTCCAGATATTGTTTCATGAAATATAATTTGTTAACATTCTTTTAAAAACTTTCAACATTTTGTTATATGTAGTTTTTAAATAGTAATTTAATATATTAATACAACAATATATTATTAAAACAGAAGAATGAATGTGTTTTTTTCACTATTGGAAAAAAACTTGATTTCCTGTTATATTGTGCCCACAACTAGTTACATAATTATGTTGCCATGACAAGGATTCACTTGGTTGATTAAACTATTCTGTTAGCGTTAATCTCACAATACTAGCATCTGTTGTGTATCAATTGCTTATACATCGAGGTAAAATATTTAAAGCATTACCTTCAAGCACATTTTTTCTCCAGTCTCCGGGAATAAGTTCACCAGAATTTGTTTCTAAATCAGCAAATCCAGATGGTACATAGTAAATGCTGTCATTAAGTTTTACGTAATTATGTAAACAAATTGCAGCTTTTATGATGTTTTCAATATTTTTAGGGGTTGCTTTTATCGGACGTCTAAATATTCTCCATTTACCTACCATAATTCCAAAGGAGTTTTCAATTGTCCTTCTAGTCCTAGATAATCGATAGTTAAAAATACGTTCTTTGATTGTTAAGTTTTTACCAGAAAAAAGGTTTTATTAACCAAGGTTTTATCGCAAAAATATCATCACCAACTAGCACTGGTGGTACTTGTGTGCTATTTGATAACTGTTTGTTCTTGGGAAGTTTGAACAAATTATTTTTAAAAGCTTTACCCATTTTACTTTCATTAAATATAGATGCATCATTATCTCTACCATAGCTACCTATATCTACCAAAGTAAAGCAGTATTTTGCATCACATATGGCTAGCAAAACCATACTATGATAGTTTTTGTAGTTGTAGTAAGCAGATTCACTTGAAACAGGAGCTTCAATACATACATGTTTGCTATCTATTGCCCCAATGCAATTAGGAAAATTCCACTCATTTTCAAATTGCTTCATTTGCTAATTTTTACTACTCATCTGAACTTTCTGGTGCCTTTAAATAACTTGGTTGCAAAACATCCCAAATAGCCTTTGTTGTTTCATTCATTATGTTGCTTACTGTTGTTCTGCCCAGTCTAAAATAAAAAGATTGTGTTTGTTGTGAATCCCCAGTAACCAAATATCTCAGGGTCACAGTCAATCGTTCTGAAGGTGATATAGTTTGACGGCTTCGACTAGGTTGTTTTGTTATGCTAGGTGCAACTATTGACAGCAAGTGTTTATACCTTTCAGGAGACATTCTGTAAAATCTATAAAAAATTCTCTGTCATGAAGACGTAGCTCAGGAATTAGTGTGAAATGCTTCTTTTTTGCAATCATTTCTAAATGATGAGCGTATCCAAAATTTGGGTTTTCTTTTTTTCTTTTTACTTTGCAGTGTTCTAAGTGCCAATCGGGTATTGCAAAGTACAAGCTGGCATTTTAGAAGATTAAACCTTTTATTATTTTCCATTTCTGAAAATTAATTTATTCATATAATTATTTATTTTTTTTAATATTATTTTAGCTGTTACTAAATTGAAAAATAAATCAAGTTAAAGTTAAGAGAAATATTTTCCCAAAGAGAGAAAAAGCTGAAGAAAAAAAAATCTTTTTTTTTTGCTAGAAAAAAGTGTTGAGATTCCTGTTTCTTTACAATAATAAGTTGAATCTAAGTTTTATGCAGTAGACATTTTTAACTTGTTACTTTAAAATAATTTTTTGTAAAAACTACAATCCTACAAATAAAATAATACAACAATATTTATAAAAATAATGTCAGTCTTTATTACGTAATCAGTATTTGTAACATTTTTTTATATACTTTTTACATATGCATAAATTAATAAAAGTAATTATGAGAAATATTTTTTATTTTACAAAATTTTTTTTATTTTGATATTAAAATAACGTATTAAAATTAATACGCAAATATTGCTTAAGCTTTAAATATGTTCTTAACTAAATTTTTTATCGTTACAATAATTTCTTTTACAACATATGTGATGCCCGGGGCAAACTACTTCAATTGCCTCTCCCTCTTGGCGGCCCTGCTCACATCTATACGATCACTGAATTAGTGATCGTATAGATCATCTTACAAATTTATAAGACGTGCAATATGCTTCTGCTGACAATAAATTTATTTTTATATGTACTACCCCATGCATAATTAATATGACAGAGTAATATAGTTGAGGTAATGAATGTTTGTTTAAAACGCTTCTTGCTTTATGTAAAACTCCAATACTTTTTGCAGTTTTGTTGCATAAATGTCCGATGTGATTCTTCCATGATAAATTTTCATCTACAATGATACCTAGAAAATTTGTGAAAATTACTCTTTTTATTTGAATATTATCAATATGAAGAAGATGCATATTACTTGGAAGTAAATGTTTTTTAGATCGTGGATGAAAGAAAATCCACTTAGTTTTATCAACGTTGAGTGAAAGTTTGTTTGACTTAAACCAGTCAGATATTTTGTTAGTTCAATGTTCATATGATAAAAAAGTTTATTGATGTTATTATTAGATAGGAATAGGTTTGTATCATCAACAAACGTTATAGTTGTTAATTTTGAGACTTGGAGATCGTTAGCTTAAATTAGAAATAATAAGGGCCCCAGTATAGACCCCCGTGGAACTCCACAGGTAATATTTAGATGATCTATCTTTAGATAATCTTGTGAAGAAGATCCTTCGACATAGGCAAATTGTTTGCGATGTTTTAAATAGCTTTTTAGTAGTTTTAAAACATTACCGGTGATACCATAATGTTCAAGTTTTTTAAACAGTATTTCATGGTCAATCGTGTCAAAAGCCTTATAAGTCTATAAAAACGCCTAAGTAAACTCTGAATTTTCAAATGAATTAGTTATACCACGAGTTAGATGATAATATGAGTTAGATGATAATATATATGAGTTACCACGAGTTAGATGATAATAATAATGACGAGATAAATTAATTAGTTATACCACGAGTAAGATGAATAATTGCATGTTCAGTAGAGTATATTAAGTAAAGTATATTATTAACAGCAAGATGATTAGATATTTGGTTGAACATAATTCTTTTTAAATTTTTGAAAAAACAGAGCGGATAGATATTGGTCAATAATTACTGACTTTTGACGGTTCACCTCCTTAAAATATATGTGTTATGAGATTATTAAATTAGGCGTTATACACTTGATACAAAGTGGGAATTAAATCTTTAAACAGTTTTTATTATTTCAACTGCTACTTGGAATATACTTGAAATATACTTGAAATATACTTGAAATATACTTGAAATATACTTGAAATATACTTGAAATATACTTAAAATATACTTGAAATATACTTGAAATATACTTGAAATATACTTGAAATATACTTGAAATATACTTGAAATATACTTGAAATATACTTGAAATATACTTGAAATATACTTGAAATATACTTGAAATATACTTGAAATATACTTGAGATATACTTGAAACATATTTGAAATATACTTGAAATATACTTGAAATATACTTGAAATATACTTGAAATATACTTGAAATATACTTGAAATATACTTGAAATATACTTGAAATATACTTGAAATATACTTGAAATATACTTGAAATATACTTGAGATATACTTGAAACATATTTGAAATATACTTGAAATATACTTGAAATATACTTGAAATATACTTGAAATATACTTGAAATATACTTGAAATATACTTGAAATATACTTGAAATATACTTGAAATATACTTGAAATATACTTGAAATATATTTGAAATATACTTGAAATATACTTGAAATATACTTGAAATATACTTGAAATATACTTGAAATATACTTGAGATATACTTGAAATATATTTGAAATATACTTGAAATATACTTGAAATATACCATTAATAAAATTTTTTAAATAGAAGTTGTTATATGATGGAAAGTTTTCAACTTTTTCAATCTTTTAATACGAAACATGTAAAGAAAAGAAAAAGGTTTTTAGTTTAAAACTTTTACACAACAATTGTGCAAGTTCGAACATCGATTATTCATCATCATCAAAACGATCTAGTTTGAAATAAATTATTAGTAATTCAATGACTTCATCAAATAAGTAATCTTTAAATATTATCATATTAAATTTAGATTACCTATGTTTTAACCATTGCAATGAGATAAAAAATTTAGTAAATTTAATTTTAATTTTATTTAATTGAGTAGTTATTTTAAAGTATTATTAAAACATTAAATTGATTTTGATGATGACCAAGATGACTGTTTTTGCTGCACTTTGATTTTTCTTTCATTGTACTGTGAGTTTTCATTGTACAGAGAGTTGATACGTTTCTTTCATTGTACTGAGAGTTTTGAGCTATATCAATCTATATACTTGTTAATAAAAATATTATGTACCTTTATACAAATATTATTTGTGTAAAGATTTTTTTATTTATACAATTTCCAAGAAACAATCCCACCTACAAAAACAATCACGATTGTTTTAATTGACAAAAAAAAAAAATATTACATATTAATCTTGATTATAAATTTGGACATATAGAAACATAAATCTTTTTTTCCAAACGTAACAAGCTTTTATTTATAATTTATGTCTTCAGATATATTTTGATGTAAAATAACATAAAATGTTAAGAAATAAGGCTTTTTTTTAAGAAGCCGGTGCAAGGTTAGTTATAAGAGCGTGCCTGTAACTATTTCAGCCAAATTTTTGATAACGAAAAGTTAAAAGTTAAAGTTCTAGCAGAAAACAAAGAATCTACAAACGTTTTGCAGAACTGACTTTTAGGTCCCAAATGAAACATCAAACTCCAAATAAATTTTGTTTTTCAACCTAAATTTTAAGAGGCTGATGCTTATAACGACAAAATATTGTTTGTTAAAGACCTATACTTTCAGGAACCCATCAACAACTAAACTATTGGTTATTATTTAAATCTATAAATACTTTGTAAAGATTTAGAAAACGTTTGTCATACAACTAATTGATAGGCTTCATTCAAACCATCGACATGTTCATACAAACGTTCGACAAGGTACATAAAACGTTCGACAGGAGGTACATACAATAATTCAAGGTAATAACTTAAAACCATTAATATTTTTAAATAATCTCTGTCAATATTTATATTAATTGATAAAGCAGTAAATCAGAACTTATAATTTTATAAAACAATTGTAAGTTACAAAAAAAAAAACCTAGACTTCCTTGGATTTTTTTTGTGACAAACGATTGTTTTGTAAAATTCTTAGTTAATTATATTTTGTTTCTGTGAATGCATTATTCCTAGTAGGAATAATGGATTAACATTATAGAATAGGTAACAATTCGCGAATTTCGCAACATTTTTCTTTACTTTTTGTACACCATTTTGATTTGATGTTAAGGCTAAATACGTATGTTTATTCTAAAAAAAATTGATGTTTGGGGATTGTTTTCTATCTAATAAAAGAAAAACTTAACTATACAAAAATATATTTTTATTTGCATATATAAAACTATAATTAAAGACATGCAAAACTTGAGTATTTTTAATTAACTCTCCTTTTAAAGTTAACTATAAAAAAGGCCCACCTAGTACCGCATTATTTGCAACTTTTTTTTTTCTCTTGACACTATTCAAAAGCAACTTAAAAAAATCCATCAGCACAAAGTTGCACAATTTTGTTTAACTTGCACTTGAAATTTTAAACGATTGTTAAAAAAACAATAAAAAATTAAAATTAAATTCATTTTATGGTTATACACAGGATGCAAGAAATACTAATTATTTTTAAATATATAATTTTAGTCATAATCTCTAATTATTATTATTTTTTTTCTAAATATTTACCAACTACTATTTTACTGATTTTACGAAATAAATAATAAAATTAATAATAACTGTTAAATATTGAGAAAATAAATAAGCAATTAAAGGTTTTGGCTGATTTCAGAGTATTTGCCGGGTTTACGTGTTCAAAAACGTGCTTACAAAAAAAAAAAAAAGAAAAAAAAAAATATAGTGGATACTATTTTTGCAAAAGTAGTTTCAAAAATGAAATTTGAAAGGTTAAAAACGAACCTATGAAAGAAACTTAAGTTGAATTTAAGAAACCTGGTAAAAAAAATAACGAAACATAGTGATAGAAGGTCTATCATACTATGGAAAAAATTAGAAGAGAGTAGAATGAAATACAGAATTGCGGAACTAGCTCAACAGCATACATAATACTGGCCAAGGTAGCATTAAAAGCTCAGAATATTATTAATACAAATCAAAAACACTTGTTACAATAAAAAAGAAGCTTTCTTAATAAATCTGGCAAAGCTACAAATATTAGATGGCTTCAGTCTTAAGGTACAATGTGATTTACCAGATGACCAATGTCCAATGATAAGAAACAGTTTCATACTGCATAATTCAGATATTTGCAGTTTACGTTCTTCAAAGTACTTTAAACCATGTTCTACAACAAATTACGCAACTTCCTGAAGGCCAAACAGCCCTAAAAACTTACTTCGTGAGAAAAATTGATTTTTGCATTGCGAAGTTTTAAGCCAGATTATTTACAAACAAAAGTAGAGTAAGACAAATAAACAGTCGGCGATATCAGAAAAAAAGAAAGCATGTTTCAGACTTCTATGTTTATTTTAAAAATAACTGTTGACAACCAAACAATCTGGTTTAAAAAAACCATCAAGTACCCAGTTAAACTTAAGTACAGAAAGGAATCCTGATTGCTTTGCAAAGAGAAGAGGTTATAATTCAAATTTTTAAATCTTCAGAAATACATAATTGAAGCAGGAAAGAATACCCAAAAAATCAATTATAAGATTGAATTTACTATGTTTGATGGAAAGATAAAGAATGTTAAAACAGATTTAAAAAAAAAATGCTCTAACAGATAATTAATTTTACTCAACTCTGTAATAATTGCATGGCAACACCTTCCTAAACTAATGACATTAATTAGGCTTAGGGGTTGTGATGAAAAAGCATTACATCATTAACTAATTCCCATGCTCTGTTCACCATATGATTTTTAATTTTGAATATCTTCTACATTTAGGATATAAAATTGACATTAAGAAATTTCAGGCATTGAAAGCTGATAAAAAATTAAGTGTGACCTAAAATAAAAAAATATTTAACAAAAATGTAGAGGAAAGCTAAGTATTGTAATAGACCAACTCAGACCTGGATGAAGCACAAATGATGGCAATACTGCAAGACGAGTACTTGAAGACTTATAAGTTATATCATTTGTGTGAATAAAAAACTTGTAGAAAGACTGAGAACTATTATAATGACCATATGTGTTGCTATGATATTAACTCTGAAATATTTTTAAAAAACTGTAGAAGTGAAACCACTAATTTAATTATTTCTCCCTATAACTGGTATGTTATACCACCTTGTGCTTACAAAAATTTAGAGCACGGAGATCAAATATTAGAATTCTTGGAACCTCCGAATAGATTTTACTCAGATGAGACTCAAGAGACTTTAAACAAAAAAATTTTAAGATCCCAGTTTGAATTCTTCTTCTAATATTTCAAAGTTAAATGTAATAAAAGACCAAATGAACCATCTACTCGTTCAAAGTGATCAGTTAATTTCATTTATCTCTTTTGTTAAACACTAACAGTTTAATGGAAAATACCAAAGAATATTCTTTCACTGTTAAAACTCTAATAATTAGAAAAATAATCTATACATTTTTTCACTTTTTAATCTAAAAAAAAGTATCGACCCCTAATTTATACCATTTATCAGATTTCCAATGCTAAAACCAACAAAATGAACAATATAAGTTTAGTAGAAGTAAAAACTAAAAATGAGCCTTGAAGTTTAAAATACCTGGTTTGCACGGCTAGATGAAGTGCTTCGAGTTTATTATTAATTGGAGTTATAAAACGTAAATTAAAAGTGTTAGACAAAAACAATTGAGTAGTATTTATCTGTAAACTTAAGAAAAAACGGTCAAGCCTGTTGACACGCCTATATGTAAACATGCTGGATTTAGCAATAGCAATTATAGCAACACTGCTAAAAAAAGAATTTAAAAAATACGAAATATTTTCTGAAATTACTAAAGTTGGTTGTAATATAATTAAAAGACTGCATATTCTTACAACCATATTTCGTGCATATCCCATCAGCACTAAAATAGCTAAACCTATAATTAATTTGTAATTCAAGTATGTTATGGCCTTAACACAATCTATATTGTCCTTCTATACTACATAGTCCTTCTCACAATAAATACTTTTGCTAGTTGGGGTATATTCAGAAAAAACACAGGAAAATTTAAATAAACAGATAAAGATTTCTTTACTTGAACCCTCGGAAAATATATCAAGGTTAAACACTATGATGAATCAAATACCTTGTAGAACAATTAGATCCAAAAGTATAAAGCATATCTTTTAGAAAAAACAAAAAATATTAAGGAACGTAGTTCCCATATGAAGTGATTGAAATATAAATAATAAAACAAATATAAATAATCTAAAACATAGTTTTTTTCTTAGGTATCCTTTAAAAACGATTGTTGCATACAAATATCCAATAAAGTAATGTAATTCAAAAATTTAAACGTAATGCGTATATAAACGTAAATGCGTGCATTGTGCGCGTCAAGCTGCTTATGAAAAATACTTTTAACAACAAATTTTAATTTTTTGACCTGAAATACTAATAGTTAAACATATAACATATTTATTTACGATGTTTATCAAAACTTGTTGAGTTTTTGACGTTTTTTGATCATTCTGAGTACATAGTGTACCGTTAAAATTGCGGTGTCTTCAGACAAAAGCCAAAATCTGGTTTTAGTGTTATGCATACTGTATTCACTGTTATAAAAAAAAATGAAACATTGCTTGATGTTTGCATTACCCAAAAAAATCCTTTAGGGGTATAATTATCATTGGTGGTTACTAGGATATAAGTCCCTTAAATCAGCGGAGGTGTAGTGGTAGCAGCTGTGGTGTTATGGTTAGAGTTCTGGCTCCAGAACTGGAGGTCCGTGGTTTTTTTCTACTTTTTTTTCTATAAAAAAAAAAAGTTTTATAGCAATTTCTATAGAAATTAATAGACATTCTATAAAAATTCTTTAGAAATTCTATAGAATTTCTATAGGCCAAATGTTTCAAAAATTTATAGAAATTCTATAGAATATTTTTTCCTGGGTACCAAATGTTTACCAAACAAACGTCAAATAAATATCAACTTATAATTTTTATGCATAAAATTATTAAAAGTATAATTATAAACCAATAATTTTTAAACCATAACTTAATAAAATTTAGCACAAGTACTTTACAAAATATTCGAGTAATAGCTATGTTCAACCCAAAACTTTAAATGACTCAACAAAGTTCTCATTGACTATTAGAAGACTCAATGTATAAAATAATATGATCAGATATCAAAACAGTTTTGATCAGTTTAAACAAAAACTATTACTTTTACATACTGAGAAAATTGAAAAATTTTTCTAAATTATTTATGAAGTGATCATTCCTGGAAAGATATGATATAAATTCATTGCTATAATTATTTACATTATAGTATTTAGTACAAAAAGAATTAATGACATTTAAATTAACGAAGTGTAATCTTTAAAAAGTATAACCTTGATAATAATTTATACATTATTTAAACTGTTAAAAAAAAATGAAATAAAAAAAAAACTCTTATTTTTGAACTTTTTTGGTTTTTGAAGAAAATTTTTGCTTTTTAATTAAGTTCTAAATTTTTACAATTTTAATTTTTTTCTGTATTTATTTATTTCATTTTTGATATACTTTTATAACTTTTTTATTATTATTATATTATCTTAAATTTCTGAATTTTGATTATAAATTATTTGTTCATTAAATTTGCTTTGAAAAAAATTTAATCTTATCAATTATACTTTTAAAATACTTTTTAAAGTCTAGAATATTTTTTTTTTTTGCATTTTTTTCAAACTCCTTCACAAAATTTCGCTTTTTTATTAAAAAAAGAATTCAAATAAAAAACACGGGCTAAACTAATTAGTTGTACAAAATCAGGTACTATTAACGCAAATGAAAAACGTTGAAAATTATATTATCTCAAATATTATTACTATAATATTGGTTCTACTTATATGTAAACAGTCAAAAATCTTGTAAAAGTGAAATTTGTTTTCTTTTTTACTTAAATGGTAATCAACTAGTTGATAAAAAATCACTTGTAAATTATTTCAATTTTTATTTTACCAAATTGTTTTCTACGATCACAAGTAACCTAGGCTTACCAAAGTTTAGTATTTGAGCTAATGCAAAATGTTCTCCAGACTTCATCTCCGTATTTTCTATCAGGAATTTAGAAGCTTTATTATCATTTCTTGATACTTAAAAGGGTATAGATATTATTAATGTACACGCTAATGTTTGAAAAAGTCGCTAAGCTAGTTTCATTTTAATAACATTTTTATGCTCCATAGTTTCTGGTCAAATTCCATTATGTTGGAAGCTTGCAAATGTCTTACCCATTTACTAAAAAGGTCTTCATACTGATCCAGAAAACTATCAAACAATTTCGCTTTCACGGTTTCTGTGGCATGATCCTCGATTGGGTAAAAAGTTTATTAAGCAATATAAAATAACGTGTTTTCTTGATTTTCTCCTCTTCTGGCTGGATATGTGTTCTGAGTTGAGTTCTTTAGGGCTCGGTCATTACTCCACTTCTGTTTTTAATTTTCATCTATTACATACCTGAAATTTTATCTAATTTCAGTTAGTTATTTTCTGATGACGCTCAATTTATTACAAAAACCAAAAATTTATATCTGATCTAGATCAAGTTCAAAAGTCTTGCAACATTGTTGCAAGTATGTCTTGCAATATTGTTGCAAGTATGTCTTGCATTATTGTGCAAACTTTGGAGGATAGATTTTAATATAAATAACTGCAAAGGAATAAAATTTTCTTATGTTTTTGATGTTTTAGATCTTTTGGTATGCTTGATTCATCAAATACTCTTAATACTTTTGATTGTTGATATTGAAAAGTTACTAGAAGTTTATTTCAACAATTAATTTTAGTGGTCTGACCAAATAAATAATGCAGAATTAAAAGCTAATAATGTTACTTGGTATTCTTAAAAGAATTTTATAAATTGGAATCCAATTATATTTTTAAAGCTATACACTACCTATGTACGCCCGCTGCTTGAGTTTTGCGCTCCAGTATGGAGCCCAATTTAAAGAAAGATATTTAGCGACTCAAAAAAATTAAACGCAGAGCAACTAAACTCGTTAGTTCCATATCTTCTATCATCATTAATTTAACCAAGTGCATGTAATGAAGTCTTTCAGTGATGATGAGGTAATAGAGGTAATTACTATTTTTCCTTTTCTTGTCAATTTGATTTTTTGTTGTCAATTTAGATTGTTGATAACTTGAATGCTTTGATTTACAATAGTTTAAAAAGGTAGTTTGTATGTTGGAAAACATGGATAGAATACTTGATTAGGTTGCGCCATTAGTCAATGGTCAAAAAAAAAGTTTGTAAAAATCTTGCTTCCTGCCCTTTTTTCCATTCGTATATGCATGCAAATGATATGGGTTAATTTTTGATAGAATTTAAATATTGTAAGCCTTGCCACCAGCATGCCAAAATATAATAATGTTCGTTTAACATGCAATTACGGTAATATTGGAAAAGTTTTATATGCTACGGTTATTATGAGTAACAAGTGACAAAGTGGCTGACTTTCTGTTGGCATTTATGCTATTAAAAATGTTATAAGTTTAAATTCGGTAGATAGTACTGTGTATTTGATTGCAAATTAATTTATAACAGAAATGGATTAGTGTGCTAATTCTGCCATGACCCTGAGGAAGGATGATTATATTTTTATTTGTTTGATAGGAAAAACCATACTGGAATTACCAGCTTGTCGAGCCTCCTAAAAAAAATGATGTTGTTTGCTTGTTTTTTTGTTTGAAAAATGAATTAATGAAGCACAAGAAGCAGTTTTAATGGTGGCAGACAAAGTTGTTATTGAAGTTCAGCAGCAATGGGCTAAAACCGGCATTAAAATACAACATAAAAACAAGGTAAAAGCAAAGATTCTTGATATTTATAATAACTATAAGACATTGCAGAAAAAAGAATGCAAATCAAACAAAAAAAAAGTAAAGCTTTTTAGTAAGTAGTTAAAACAGTACATTTTTATAGCACACTACGATGTCGAGGTGAAAACAGAATCCGGCAAACTTTGCGCCAAAAAAATGAAGGACAAAGATCTTGAAATCCTGAGTGTTCTTTAAGATCAAAAGAAGGTGTGTGTGAAGGTGTGAAGGGTGCAGAAGACAAGATCTACACAAGAAAAGTAAAGAATAAATTAAAAAGAACTAAGGTCTTATTAAGGTAGAAGAAGTCGCGAAAAAAGGCAACTACTTCTCAACGAGAAGTAGCAATGTCTTGTGACAACTATCGGGAAAGTGCCGAATTGATAATAATAATTCTGGGAGAAAAACTACCTCATGGTGTACACTGGTATCAGCCTGGAGCATTTTGTCACGTCTAATGGATAGCAACCATCCTATACATAGCAGAAATATTTGCATTCGGTGAGCAGTTGAATTTTAACCAAGATAAAATGGACAAGTTGCGTCTCATTTGCTTGCTCAATCATTTTCTACATCAAGAAATGGCTTTTAGCACGTGCGGTTGCAGGTGAATGATCACATATAGTATAAAAGTTTTGATCTAGCCTTGACACAAATGGCTAGGATAGCACAACAGATATCTGTGATATCTCAATAGTGAGATAGTACCGCTTGGTCTTTTCTTCACACTTTTGTCAGACTCTAAAAAGAAGCAAGTCATTCAGCAACTTTTGAAGCACGAAGACGTTGCTACTACCTGTCTTCAAAAGACATATAAAACGTAATATTGTAATATTGTAAAACAATATTGTAATATTATAATATTGTAAAACATTTAAAAAAAGAACAAAAAAAAGTTAAATTAAAAAATAAATAAATATATATATATATATATATATATATATATATATATATATATATATATATATATATATATATATATATATATATATATATATATATATATATATATATATATAAAGGAAGTTGTTGTTTTGCTTGATAACGATTAAAATAATCTACGAATTCAGTTTCAGTGAAAATCTTAGTTGTCTTATTAGAAATTCGATTAAGACGTTTGATTCAGTTTTTGACGGTAAGTGGACCTACACTAACAAAATATTACTTTTTTGAGCAATTAAACATTTTTTATTTTTAATAATTTCATTACATATGTTAAGATTTTTAGGAATACTTTTTTTTTTGTTTATTTGGTACTATTTACTGACTTTATGCTCCAAATATTCAGACAATCCTTGTTATTGATTCTTTTGTTTCTCAGACTATTTTTTGGATGCTTTATTATATCAAAAATAAATTGTCTTTTTTAATAACTCAAAAATAGGTTTTTAGTATTGTAATTAGTTTCATTATTAAGATTTTTCTTTTGGGAGAAATTTATTGTGCAACAGTTGCTTTGTTATGGTTGAGTATTTCCGGCGTTATTCATAAACTTAATGTTTTTTTCTTTACATATTTTGTAACCATAAAAAATGCAGTACAATAAAGTAATTGAAATTTTCTTAGAAACTTATCATATTCTTTATTCGTGTAGGATGCAGGATGCAGTTTATACCCAAAAAAAGCGTTATAAAAAGTTCAATGGATTTTTCATTGATTTAACTTTTTTTTTCATTGATAGATGTTATCGTATTTTTGTTAGATAAGAAATATGCGGAAGTGGTCTGAAATGTCGGATTTAAATATTCATGTTTTTATCAAAGAGATGAATTTGTTGATAACTATAAATCTTTGGTTATTGTGGTTTCTCTCGTTGATCGTGTTGGATTATAAATTAATGGAATGCAACTTTCTAATAAATAACTTTGGAGTAAATCTTTTTTATTTTTATTTTTTCATGATTCTAATTTTTGCCGGTCTTAAAATAACTTAGAAATAAAATAACCTACAAAAAAAATAACCTACAAATAAAATAACCTCCAAATAAAATAGCTTCCAAATAAAATAACCTCCAAATAAAATAACCAATAAATAAAATAACCTACAAATAAAATAACCTACAAATAAAATAACCTACCAATAAAATAACCTACCAATAAAATAACCTACCAATAAAATAACCTACAAAACCAACGCATTTATTTCGTAAGTCTTTAATTATGTTTTTAATATGATCTTGAAAATATTTATTAAGTTGGAATGTTGTTTGTATAGATGGTTTGGTTTGTATAGATGATTTGGTTTGTATAGATGATATTGTTTTTTGTAAATGAATTTATTATTTCCACGCACAACGATTTGCAATCATTTATGTTAACAACCAATTATTTTTTTAATTTGAGTACTAAAGTATTATTTATAGTAACATGAAAGATCCCTCTTTTCTTCGCGGAGTCGAAAAATTAATAAATTATTTATAATGTAGTGAAGTGGAGTTGATTAGCGCCCGGGGCCAAAAATAAATATTGCGCTCATTTATCCCCACTTCGGATGCTTTTTTTTGTTACTCTTTCTTATATGTCGCAGTTGGAGTAATGAGGCTAAAAATCACGATTGGAACATTATACAGACATTATTATTATGAAGTTGTTATTTGCTGAAACTAATATTGTCGCTTCATTATTTTCAACATGCACATATCTGATAACTTGAGACATTTGATTAATGTGGATATTTTGCCTTTCTAATGTTATTCAGAATAGATATCCAGAAGAGATTTCCAAACAGAGTTATAAACCCATTGTGTATATGTTTATCTAAAAATAATGCTAATAACCCGTATCATTAAACACATGTAGATTGATCGCTTTATCATCCAAGTGTTTGCTTAATTGATTAGAATTTGAATCAGCCTCAAATTAGTTGGTTACTACCTTTCATACCTAAAGTTGAAAACTTATCATATTAACGTGCTAAAAGAGAATTATACAATTTAAGTCACGTGTTATGGTATTGTGCATTTTTTATAAATGCTATTTTAATACATACTTGTTGCTCTGAAGTTGTCAAGGCATATTCATTGTCAACTTTTCTTGACCTCTCCTCTTTCCCTACTAATTCTTTAAAAATTCGAACAGTAATTATTGTTTTATTTACATACTTGTAATGTTAACGTGTTTGTGTTTTGAAATATTTTATTATCACCATAAAATTTAGGTTAGTGATTTTATCTGAAAGTAAAATTTTGAATGAAGTATAACTACATTCTATGATACCTTTAAAGT